GAAGGAAGGAAGGAAGGAAGGAAGGAAGGAAGGAAGGAAGGAAGGAAGGAAGGAAGGAAGATAGTCAATATGTCGCTGTTAGCGCCTAGGGGAACGAAGGTAGCAGGTTAAAGGAACAGGTTGAAGAAAGGTGGATACTATTACTAAAAATCCATCGCTTCTCGGCCTTTGGCTAAGATCAAGTGTATTACTAAAAATCCAGATGAACAAGAAATGGAACCAGCACACCCACAGTAACTCGGGCCCAGTGAACAAGGTGGAAAAGGTAAGCTAAATGGAATTCACATCATAACCTAAAAGCACAGTGTAGCTGTGATGGTTGGAGAGGACATGGTGGGGAGACTCTCGAAAAAACTAATAGGCAAGCACATTAAATATAATTGATTTCTCTGTTTAATTACAAGAAAGAGGACGCAGAAGAGAATAGGAGTGTGATGGAAATGTCTTACTGTGGTAACTTGGACAATTCGAAATTAGAAGCAAATAATGATTGCCGTTATGTTTTTGTCTAAGAAAAACTGCATTCTGAGAAGATAGGATTAAATCCTTGTCAACAATACAGAAAACTGGTAACTACTGCCATTGTCATGGGCAGTAGTGCTTTTCTTCAGACCACCTCACCACACTCACAAATCTCAGACTGTGCCTTCCAAGAGAGCTATAGGGGCTACCGTTGGCATACTGCACTAGTCAACGATCATGTAATGCCTTCTGGACTGGCCTTTATTTCTGGGAGATTCTAGGCATGAGCAAGGGAAGCTGAATATAGTAAGAAACTGACCTCCTATGTCCTCACTTAACTCCAGCAGGTACACATGCTCACCTCTACTCCAAGGCTTGATCCCACCCACCTTGACAGATTAAGGTCTGAGTAGATATTAGTTCTGCAAGAGACACAATGCAAGGGAGATACCGAGTAATTTCTCCCTCCCTATTCTTAATTTGGAAGAGTCAACTGGGTTTAAATATCTTTACATTTTTAGCCCTCCTCATTTCCCATACACACTAGCATTTGTATATTCCTTTTTCTCATGGGTATATCTCTCCCCTGTGGTCTTTTCTTCCAAATCATTATGAACTGAAAAGGACTCCAGGCAAGAATATTCTTTGCCATTTTCCAGCTTTATGGGAAGTTCAGGCAGGTGCTTCAGCTTCTCTGGATCTTGGCCAATATCTCCATCTGTGAAGCTCACAATGGTTGAATTAGGTCGTCATTTCCTGACGGGTGGTTCACGAACCCCTGGCTGTTCAAGACTGTATTCCAGGGCACTCAGTTCAATACAAGTTGAAATGGTATTTGCTTTGATTTATATTTTTAAGTAGTAAATAAAAATCTTTAAAATGTCCTAGTAATGGGACACCTGGGTGGCTTAGTCAGTTAAGCATTCAATTCCTGATTTTGGCTCAAGTCATAATCTCACAGTTCATGAGATCAGGCCCCATGTGGAGCTCCGTGCTGAGGTTGTACAGCCTGCTGGGGATTCTCTGTCGCCACCCCCCACCCCCTGCCCCCGCCTCTGTTTCCCCAGTGCACACTCTCTTTCTCAAAATAAATAAACATTAAAAAAATCCTATTAAAACAAGAATATTCGAAAGCCTCCAACTACACAGCAGATGAATATGTGCTGTGCTTAGTGGGAGTCAGATGAGACTGGGAGTAGTTTATCACACCTGCACACAGAAAACTTTGGCAGTTTTGACTGTTATTTAGAATTAAGTTGTTTTTGATTTTGGTCAGGATATTGACGTTTATGTAGTCATAAACCTTACCATGTCCTTACCATAAGGATCTCTCATGTTGCCATTTTTTTTAAGTGTATTTATTTTGAGAGAGAGAGAGAGAGAGAACACAAGTGGGGTAGGGGCAAAGAGAAAGGGACAGAGAGTTCCAAGCAGGCTCCACACTGCCAGCATAGACCCCAACTCGGGACTCAAACTCATAAACTGTGAGATCATGACCTGAGCCGAGATCAAGAGTGGGGCTTTTAACCAGCTGAGCCACCCAGGCACCCCTCATGTTGCCATTTTATAGCTACTCCACTTCCCTCTCATTCACTCCCCTTCATCCCTGGCAATACCAGCCTGTTCTCCATCTCAAGAATGTTCTATAAATGAAATCATACAGTATGTAACCATTTGGGATTCACTGTTTTCACTCAGGATAATTCTCTGGAGTTGCAACCAGACTGTTAGATGTATCAACAGTTCATTCCTTTTTATTGCTAATGTTCCATGGTATGAATGTCCACTTTGTTTAACCACTCACCTGTTGTTTTCACTTTGGGGCTATTACAAAGCTGCTGTGAACAGTTATGGTCAGATTTTTGAGTTAACATAAGTTTTCATTTCTCTGGTATAACCACCCAGGAGTGTAATTGCTGGGTCTATTGTAATTTCATGTGTAAGTTTTTAAGAAACTATCAAACTGTTTTCCAGAGTGGCTGTATCATTTTACGTTTGTACCAGCAATGCAGGAATGATCCAGTGTTCCACATCCTTGCCAGCATTTAGTGTTGTCACTATTTTTTGTTTCTAATTTTAGTTATTCTGACTGGTGTATGGTGATGTCTCATGGTGCCTATAATTTCCATTTCCCCAATGGCTTATTGATGTTGAACATCTTTCTGTGTGTTTATTTGCCCTTTGTATAGGGCCTTCTCACCAAAAATAAATACAGGTAACTATGTGAGGTGATGGGCAATAGCTGTATTAATTAACTTGACTGCAGTAATCATTTCACAATATGTACATATACCAAATCATCACATTGTACTCTTTAAATATATCCAATTTTGTCAATTATACTTCAAAAAAAATGAGCAAACTAAAACATTACCAGTACACCACTAAATTTAGAAATAGTTTTGTTTCTGCTTCCTTTTTGCTAATTTTGAGAGCAGAAAACATGATTTTTACTTCTTATATTTTCCCACAGCACTTTCTACAGAGCTAGTCATAAAAAGTAGGCATACCTAACAAGTACACATGAATCAATTGATAGATTGTGAAAGCACTGAGGGAGTCATCAGAAATCATAAGTGATGGAAGAAGCTTGGATTTGAAAATCATAAAATGTTCTCTTTCTTTTTTACCATCAATATTCTGGTTTTAGCTTCAATATTTCAGACTTAAAGATCACTGAAGGAAAACATTCAACAGCGCTCTGAAGATGTGTTCAGGAGGTTATGCATAAGCTATTCTCTGTTCTTCACATGGATATTTTCATCTTTGAACCTAAATGGCCTGAGGCTGCACTATTTAATTTTTATTTGTTTTTTTAGTGATCTTTATTTACTCTAGAAGTTCATTCCTTTAAAAAAATTTTTTTTAATGTTTACTTATTTTTGAGAGAGAGACAGACAGTGAGCAGGGGAGGGGCAGAGAGAGAGAGGGAGACACAGAATCCAAAGGAGGCTCCAGGCTCTGAGCTGTCAGCACAGAGCCTGATGCAGGGCTGAAACCCACGAACTGTGAGATCATGACCTGAGCCAATGTTGGACGCTTAACCGACTGAGCCACCCAGGCGCCCCACTAGCAATTCATTCTTAAAGCTAGGCAGTTAATTCCTTAACCTGCTGTATTTTGTTCAAAAGATCTTGTAGCAAATAATATTTTTTCTTGAAGAATGGAGTCATGTCTTATCCAGTAACGGGCAGTTTGTACCATGTTTAAGTGTTTCCAGTTTCATCATCCTTCACAGTACTGTTTTATTTTATTTTATTTTATTATTTTATTTTATTTTATTTTATTTTATTTTATTTTATTTTATTTTATTTTATTTTATATTTTTATATTTCAGTCTTGAAGACTTTATTGGATTCGCATCCTACTCCATTAACTCCCACCTCCCTTGGGCTCTTTCATGACACAAATGGGAGAAAAATGTGGATGGAGATAAAGGTAAGAATGAATGTGTGAAATTGATCCTTTTCCTTAACCAACAAGTTAGGCTCATTTACATGTAATGATACAACACATATATTTGCTCTGATTTTTGTAGTTTTTAAAAATATCTTTTCCTATACAGTAAGCTTTATTTTTTTATGTGGTCTTCATATATTTAGAAAGGCTTATATTTTTTTTATTCACTGGTTGACTTTATATTTGTGATATTGTGTAATTTTCTTGGTTACCAATTTTTTAACAGTTCCTGTTAGTTTCCTGCTAGGAAAACATTGATAAAATAGTCATGTTCAGACCTCTGTGACTAATATTTTGAACTTCAATGTATGGCTTTAATATATCCTTGTTAAATTCCATCGTTGGATTTTCCCCATTCATCTAGCATTTTGAGATAATTTTATATTTTGATAAAAGCATGAACATTTGTGTTCTATGTTATTTCCGGAGATGTGTTTCACTATTATTTTGATACTGAGAAGCACTGTCACCCTTCTAGAACCAAGCACTATGTTTTACATCAACTAATTCCAGAAATGACCTGGTTTCCCTTAACAGCTTGTAGAAAACTTAAGACCCAATATTTTGTTCATTTAATACAGGCAGACCCATATCAATGATATACACTTTTATTTTAGCTCCACTTTTTTATTCAGATCCATTTTAATTCATGCAATTTTATCATATTCTATTTATCATTGTAAGTCACCTATAATTCTTTCTGCAATAATGTTCTTCTTCCCAGCTTTTGAAAACCCCCAAATCTGATGCTCATAGAAATTAACTCAAAATTTTAATAAACACATGGAACTTCTTGAACAATACAGTTAAACACATCAAACTTTTATTAAGATTTTCTTTGGTAAGGCGCCTGGGTGGCTCAGTCTGCTCAGTGTCCGACTTCAGCTCAGGTCATGATCTCACAACTTGTGAGTTTGAGCCCCGCATCGCATAGGGCTCTGTGCTGACAGCTCAGAGCCTGGACCCTGTTTTGGATTCTGTGTCTCCCTCTCTCTCTGCTCCTCCCCCGCTCGCACTCTGTTTCTCTCTCAAAAATAAACATTAAACAACAACAAAAAGTTATCTCTATATTTTTAGTTCTCATTCATTCATTCATTCATTCATTCCTGCATGTAAGTTCAGTTAATTTGAGGTTTTAGTTTTCCTGACATAATTATCACCAGTCTTTATATTTATCTGCCTCATAGGGACCTTGGCCATCTTTGGTATAAGCCCTTTTAATATAAGAGCTCAAGAGAGTTTGCTATGAACTGCAGAAATTTCATTCAATGCCTCACCCTTCCCTTTCTCAGTGAAGCCTGTGTGTGCATCGTTAGAACTTTCTTTCCATCCTATGGTCCAACCTCCCTCTTGTAGATATTCAGGCAACTGGGCCATTGCCATCAGTAAACTTTATGAAGTCTTATTTCTCCTATTTCCTATCCAGTTTTGTTTTTCTTAATACAAATCTGTGATAACACAATTTACATACAAGATATTTTACATGCAAAGGTAAGAAACAAGAAACAGTATTAATAGTGTCATCCAATATACAAAAATGTGGGTCATATTTATTTTGCCAATTATATTTGAATACATTGGTTCCATTGTAACATGTTTTCCTTAATAATTTCAAACCTTAATTGGGAAAAAAATCTTAGATAAAAAAATCTTGTTAGTTAGAATTAAAGAAGAAGTATCTTTATTTTTTAAAAGGATATTGTTAAATTTCTACATTGCTATAGACTCACTGCAGAGATTATAATAGCTATATAATCTGAAGTGTTTTGTTATTGCCAATGCACTTTCATGCAAAATAAATTCTCTATAAATATTCTCAGAAATATTCTGAATGGCTTTTCTACTTCTTTGCTTCTACTTACTTTTTGTTTAACTTTAGCCTGAGGGCCTAATAGATAATCATAGCCAAAGTGAAAGTTAAAAATTAACTCTGAACTAGTTTGTCACCTGCCTCTACCAAGGGATTTGCAAAGTTATAACTTGTTCAGCTCCTGGGAGCTGAGTTAATTATGGCAAATCACACTAATTAAATTATTCACTAGGTCTTGAGGAAAAACAATCTATTACATTGTAGAATGCATTGTGGATTTGCCTTAAGACTCCCAGCTCGTCGTTCCCTGTGTCAGGAAATGCCTATTTAGACATTTAGTTTAAGTGAGAACAGTATGGTGAAGTTGAAGATTTGATGTTCTTTAGGCCCCCCGGGGCTTTTAATTCAATTCCCATTTGTTGCACACTTGCTATGAGCAAATCCTACGTGTTACACCCTGTGTCCTCAGAGGTTACAGATAAAAACCTGATGTAAGAAACGTACATATAGAATTATAGTACAAGGCAAACAAAAAATATATATAACTGGAAAATAAGGAAGAAAATGAGATGGACTCTGACAAAGCTTCATAGAGGCAGAGAAGGAAGATTAAAGCCGAGTTTTAAAGGGGCAAAACTTATACACGCAAAGATGGGAATGCAACAAAGGGCACTTGAAATAGGCGACAGGGTGACTAAGACACAGAGGGAAGAATGTGCGTAGCCCTTTCAGGGAGCACACAAGTTAAGCTAAGGTAGCAGGTGAAGTCTTGAGCTGCGTGGCAACCCTGGGTTCTCTTAACACAGCGCTCGATGCGTTTTTTGTTTAGCTGCTCGTTCAGTTGCTTGAATCATGGAGCACAGCAATCATTCAGGAAAACTTGCCAGACACTGGGCAGCTCTGAGCTTGCCTCTGGGCAGGAGCTAGTCTGTAGTGAGAAGACACTGCTCTACATTTCTTGCTCCAGGATGGGTATGGAGACAGCGATCCGACCTGTAAGGACCTGTGCATACACGCATGCGCGCGCGACACACGCACGCACGCATGCATGCACTTTTGTGAGGTCTTCCAGACTAGGGGCAAGTCTGTCTGGGTTAAAATCCTAGCTCTGCCCCTTACTAGTTGTGCAAACTTGGGCAATCTATTTCACCCTTCCTAAGGCTTACTTCCTCCTTGAGAAAGGACCATGATAACATAACACCTACTTTGCAGGAATGATGTGAGGATTAAATGTGAATTAATGCACATACATTAACCAGGATTGCATTATACAGCACCTTTGTGCAATTTAGAAAATTTTAACCCTCTCTCCAGACCTCTCCACAACCTTTTGCCAGGGCACTCAGATCAATGAGTGGAGATGAAGACATTTTCAGTCCCTTGCTGCCTTCATACAAGCAGCCCTCTGCAAGGTGCACCTGCACAACTGTACACAGAAATCCTGGAGAAAGGACTTAGCATAATGCTTTGCTATAACAAGATTTCAGTAAACATGGGACATCATTATAATTATTAGGCGGCAAACCACTGCAAAACACAGTGTTGAGGCTCCGTTGGAGACTACCTGGTTAAGCCGGTTATGAAAAGAGACTGCTGTATTCACAATCCACCCCTAAGTCTTAGGAAAGCGTTCAAAATACAGAATTGGAAAGCGTAGCAATAGGCCTCCATTCCTGTGTGACTCTCCTCCCACTAGATGGTGCTGTCTTTCAATGCAGGCTCAGCTTCCGCTTGTTTTGGTGGAACTGATCTCAGTTTAGAGATGGCCTTTATTTACCAGTAACTCAATCGATAGCCAGGTGGTGTTTGTCCCCCACAGGCTTCCTTCAGCTCTTGGTGGAGGAGGAGGTGTTACTTCTGTCTCAGAGCATCCGTGTTCCACAATGTACTTAAACACTGCTCCAAGGAAATGACTCTCCCTGGATGGTAGAAAGCTTCAGGAGAGCTGTGAGAGGCTGTGAACTTCCTGACTCATTGAATTCACAACCAGAATGGCATCAATAAGTAATTTACCACATAACAGCCTCACTTTACCGTTTGACCACCCCTGCTTGTGATAGTGAGAGCGGAGGCAGGACTTGATCATCCAACTGTGTGGTTATAAAAAGTTATTCTCCAGACACGTGAGCTGCAAGCCAGGGGAGGAGGATTCTGCCCAACTTGAGTCCCAAGGCTGTATTTTCGTTATTTCTATCTTCCTCTTATTTTCATTTTTCTCATTCTAAGGAATTTGTGAACTTCACTACCCAAAACATAGATTTCTGAGAAGTCCTTCAGTTGAAGTGTTTATATCACATTATGAGGATAACCTGCTACTTAAGGGGACAGGGCACTGCTGTTCCTCCACACCCATTCGTGAACAGCACACCTCCTACTAAATTTGGAACAAAATCTACATCTCAGTTTTAATGGTAAAATATCTGCAAAATGAGAAGAGGGAAGAGAAATCATTGAAACAGATCGTGACTTTTTGCTGCCTAAAATGCTCCCGTGGCTGCTTCTTGCCTCTGGCAATGGTTCTCAGACTTGGGACACTTGGACAAACTCATTCCACAGCATTTGAAGGCATGGCTTTTCAGAAGGGAGGATACGTGAGATGAAAGGTGGGCTGTATTACAGTATCCAAGGAGGCCATGTTCAAACGTTCAGTCTATACACACAGCCTTGGAGATTCTGGTGAATAATACCACACACCCCAGTTAAAGGCAGGGAGTAAGTCCTTTGTTAACTCCACTGCCCTAGAGGAAGAAATAAAATAAAACCATAATTTACCGGGGCGCCAGGGTGGCTCAGCTGGTTAAGCAACTGGGTCTGGATTTCAGCTCCATTCATGATCTCACAGTTCATGAGATCTGACAGCACGGAGCCTGCTTGGGGCTCTCTCTGTCTCCTCTCTGTGTCTCAAAATAAATAAACTTTTAAAAAGTTTTTTTTTTCAACGTTTATTTATTTTTGGGACAGAGAGAGACAGAGCATGAACGGGGAAGGGGCAGAGAGAGAGGGAGACACAGAATCGGAAACAGGCTCCAGGCTCTGAGCCATCAGCCCAGAACCTGACGCGGGGCTGGAACTCACGGACCGCGAGATCGTGACCTGGCTGAAGTCGGACGCTTAACCGACTGCGCCACCCAGGCGCCCCAAAAAGTTTTTTTAATTAAAAAAAAAACAACATAATTTACCTAGTGTTCTCCATAGTCTGACTCCTGCCAAAAATCTCCAGCTCATTTACTGCTGGCTCCTCAGTGCATTCTATGACCAACTAAGGGAAGTGTTCATCCTTCCTCCCACTATGCCATTTTCCTTCAGAGTTTTGTGCATTTTCTCTGCCTGGGATGCCTGTCTTTTTTTAGATTACCCAACAAACAAACAAACAAACAAACAAACAAACAAAAATCCTTCTCATCCTCAGCTCCAGCCTTTATTTTCTCCGTGGCACTTTCTTTCTCCCCTCATGAAAACTAAATATCACCTTCTTTTGGCCATCTCTTCATCTCCTCCATCAATTGAGAGTAAGAACTGCCTTGTTGGATATGATCACTGTACCTGGCACATAGCTAATAAATCCATGCCTAGTGAATAAATGAATGCAGTACTATTCAAAGGAAACACATTGCATTTGGGTTGGTCGGTAACGGTAGTGTAGGATGGTGAAATAAACCAGTGCAAATCTTACTTAAGGGTTAACTTATTAGCCTGTTTTAAAATCTAAGTCAGATAGAAGGTGAAGGACTGGCCAACGTCACACACAGAAGTATCTTAGCAGAATCCGAAACCTTAAACGTAAGGAATGTTCAAGCTATAGAACGTAAAATGATAGTGTTATAGATTCTTTTTTTTTTTTTTTCAACGTTTATTTATTTTTGGGACAG